TAGGCCCATCTGCTCAGGCCCCCTCTGGTGCTTGGGGTCTCTCTGAGGGGTCACTGTGGGGACAGACAGAAGATGGCATTGGTGAGGACGTCCAGGGCCTGGGGAACAAGGCCCCGAGCTGGGCGGCCTTTGGCATCTCCCACCTGTCAGCTTCTCCTAGAATGGAGAGGCTTATGCATACAGTAGGTGTTCATGAAACCAGTAAGCCCACACATGGCCAGCCTTGGGAAGGATGCTGGGGGTCATCTGTGCCCTCTAAGGCAGAGAGACACTGAGCGGCTGTGGCCACCAGGCCACGAACTCCCAGGCGAGACTGTGCCTGGTCACTACTTCCCTGGTCCTCGTGCAGGGCCTGGCACAGAGTAGGCACTCCAAGTGCACGGTGGCCTGTGCAGAGCAATGTGTCAGGGCCCGGGGGCACCAAGGGCCACCCTGGGCCCAAGTGGGCTCTGCATACTCCAGTTGATGGAAATGCCTAGTTATGTGGCCCCTGAGGACCCAACTGCCACCCCCTAGGCTGTTCCTGGTCCCCTTGTCCCCCATCTAGCTGCAGCGTGGTGTCCTGGAAAGAGGACTCCAACAGAGCCAGCCCGAATCCCGCCTCTGCCACTTTCTAGCCTGACTCTCGGGAAGCTCTAGGAGCCTCTGTTCCTCGTCCGTGAGTGAGAAGGTCAGCGAACCCCTCAGGTGCTGGACTTAGTAGGATTAGATGAGCTAGCACGTGCCACATGTGAGCACGGTTCGGGGTCTGCATTCAGATCCCAGCCCGGTTCCCCAGCCTCTCTGGTCTCAGGGTCTCCCTCCGCACCACAAGGGCTGCATGGTCTCTGAGTCCCACAAACCAGGCTTCCTGCACATCCTGCCCCACAGTCCCATTTGGGTGAGCAGCCCCAGGCTCTTCACACGTCAACAGGGGAGCCCTCCCTGCTGCTGTTCCCACCTTCTCATAGCTGGAGCCTGGGATGAAAACAGAGCCCTGTGTCAAGGGGGCAGGGGGCAGGCAAGAACCTACTGGCAGGCTCGTCTCTCTGTGGCTGGCATGGGTCCCAGCCTTGTCCCTGCCGTCACCCCCAGGCTGCAGCTCCTAGCAGGGCAGGACCCAAGTAGGAGGGTGGGGGTGCAGGGAGATGGGGGCAGAAGGGAAGATAGGAAGGCCGCAATCTGACCAACTGACCAGCAGAGACAGACTGCCCTTTCCAAAGTACAGCCACTTCTGTCAGTGATGTCCACTCCTCACAACGTCCTACCCCACGGGGCAGCAGGGCGAGTATTATTTCCATTTCCGGGGAGGTGAGGGAGGCTCAGAGGGGCCTGAGATGAGCACACCACTAGGAAATGGCAGCACGGAAACCGAGCCCCAGGCCCTGCCCCATGCTCTTCACTCTGATGGGCTCTGGTGGGAGAGGACGCACGGGGGAGGGGCGCGCAGGCCAGCTGCTCCAGAAACCCTAATCTGCGCGTTGGGTCTGATGCTGCCACTGCTCCAGGGGCCCTGCGCTCAAGGAGTTGGAATCCTGGGGAGAAGAAATGCTGGGAAACAACCGGAACACAAAGCACTGTGCCGTGTGAGGCCTGCCCGGGCTGGAGCGGCCGCGGGACAGCGTTCTGGAGGAGAGGGCTCTTGAGGAGAGGGCTCAAGTAGAAGAAACTCAACTCAGACCCCTGTGAACAACAGAAGAAGGAAGCGACCGGTTCCTCCAGGTGTTCACACGGCGGTGTCAGGAGGGTCCTTCTCCTCTGCGCTGTGGCGGCACACTCTCCCCGAGGCTGGCAGCTCCCAGCTTACACTCTCGAGCTCAGAAACCCCAGTGGCAAGAGAGAATATGTTATCTCAGTAGGTCAGAAAAAAGTTCCAGGATAGAGTCACGCGGGGCCAGCGTGGGTGGTGTGCCGGGGTGGCTATGGGGCAGGCATCGCCCACAACAGATGGGTGGGGTCTGGATGGGGAGAATGGGGCAGTGGGGGGCACATTTCACTCGATGGGAGCTGGCCAGAGGGGGGTTGAAGAGGAGACCAGCCCGGGGCAGCTGTGGGCAGGAGGCAGAAGGTCTGGTGGAGCCAGTGACCCATGCCAGGGACCTGGGACTTGACCCTGAGGGGGCGGGGGAACTAACAGGGTCCCCTCAGGCACAGCGTGATCAAGGAGACTGCAGATTTGAGTTTGAATCTGCTTCCCAGCTATGACCTTGGGCAAGATATTTTAAACATTCGGGCCTCAGTTTCTTCACCTGAAAAATGGACCTAGTAATATCTATGTGGAAGGGCTGCTGTGGGGAGTAAGATGTCATGTGTCAGACATGGGGTGTGTGGTTGGTGGCTAGCGAGGCTTTGGGACAGGCCGTCTGGGTTCACAGAGCACTTTCACCAACATTATCTCCCTCCTCACAAGGGCTCTGAGAGTTCTCTGGGGATGGTGGGGGGGGGGTTGTCCAGCAGGTTTCAGACACTTGGCCAAAGTCACCAAGCTGGAAGGTGACAGAACCAAGACATGTATTTGGGTCAAATGCTGAGCTGGTGCCACAGCACTATGCTGGATGGATCAAGGTGTTGAGGGGTGTCTGCATCCCGGGGTCCCTTCATGGGTTAAGGATGGGTCCTAATTGGCCTTCTCTTCCCCTGGAGCCCACCACAGTTGCCCCAGGGTGGGCACCAAACCTGCCTTGAGCCCGCCACTAATGTCCATCCCAAACAGCCTCTTAGCACTGTAGTCTAGTGCTAAGCGCGAGCTGAGCAGATGGGGAGTCCTCTCCTTGCTGCCTCCTGGACCTTTCCAGCTTCCAGAGGCTCCAGGCTCTTTGATTCCCTGCTCCAGGCTTGGGCAGGTAGAATCACTGTCCACACTCTGCACGGCTTAGCCTGATCCGTCCATTAAGACCCACCCATCCCTGGAGACACCTATGAAATGCTCCCTTGGGCCCAGAGCAAGGCTGTACCCAGCCTTCAAGGAGTAGACTTCCCAAGGTCAAGGTTTTTTGTAGTATGACCAGGCCCCTTCCCAAAGCCACCCAGCAGTGAGATATCTTCTCTGACTACAAGAGTGTTCTGTCTTCATCTGTCTGTCTGTCTTCTGGTCTATCTTGGCTAGGACCAGGCTTGGCTTTGAATAATAAAGACCCCAGTTAACAAAAGCAAAACGTCTGTTTCTCTCATAAAAGTCCTGAGGTAGGCAGTCCAAAGCCAGTATGGGGATTTTATGCACTCCTCAGAGACCTAGGCTCCTTCCAGCTGCTCCACTCTCTTGTCCTCATGGTCCAAGATGGCAGCCAAAATTCCAGCCATTACAGCTTCATTCCAGGCAGCAAGGTGGAGGAAAGATAAAGAAGAAGAGGGCAAATGGTACCTTCCAGTTTACTTTTAAGAAAGATTCCTGGAAATTGACACATGACACTTTTACTCGGTCACATAGTCACATCTAGCTGCAAGGGGGTCTGGGATAGTCTTAATTCCAGGTAGCTGAGTTCCCAGCTAAAAATTAGGGGATTTTTTACTGAGAAAAGGGGGGAATGGACCTTGGGGGTAACTATGTATGACACCCCTTCCATTCCATGAGCATTTATTGAGTACTCCTTGTACTTACCCATGTTGTAGTACTCATACTATGATTAATACCCTAGCATCTCATGAGCACTGAACAGTGCCTGGCATACAGTAGGTGCTCACTGAGCAGCGGCTGTTATTGTGACTGCATCAGATATAAGCACAGGCTTCCTGAGAGTGGGGAGGAGGGCTGGCTGCTGGGCAGGGGAGCAGGGTATAGAAAGGCATCCTGGAGGAGGTCCTCCATGGGAATGTTGGGGGTCTTTCTTTTTATTGACCCTGGAGGGCTAGGATGGCTGGCTGTAGCCATTTTAGGACTTTGTGTTACCTCCCCCAACCTCCATCCTGTCCTATCTCAGCCTTCTCTGGGGAACGACTCTGACAACTCATCCTCACCGAGGTGCCCATGACAACAGCGAAGAAGAGGGCTCTCCAGGGGGAAAAGTGCAACCATATGTTGGAGAATTCTGGCATCAGTTAAGGTGAGGGGCTAGTTCTGTAGGCCTTGGAATCTTCCTGAATCCCCAGAATACTCACGCTGTGGGCGGTCATACAATTCCTACTGAAATTAGAAAATAACAATACACATTATCTAGAATGCCCTCATCTGACAGAGGCAGGTACCAGGTGCTTGGTGCCCTTCCAGAGTGATCCAGAGAAAGGAAGAGCCAGCCCCTGCCCTCCGGGGACAGCCCTCAACCCACCTGGCAGGACGAGGAGGAAGCTGAGGGCTTGACTGCGTGGCCCTCCTTGGATTCATGGGGGTGGAAGAGCCCTGGTAGTGGGTGCCCGGATGTGGTCTCCACCCTTCAGGGACTGTGGGAGAGAAAGCTGCTGCTGGCCGAACCCCCACTCTAGGCCTGGGAAAGCGAGCTACCAATCTTTCCTGAGAACCGCTGTGTGATGGCCCTATGCCAGGCCCTGTGGGGCACAGACAGCATGGCTGCCATGTGGGGTGGGTGGGCCCATGAGCCTCAGGTCCCTTTCCCCAGGGTTCCCTCCATCCCTGGCCTGGAAGCCAGACAGCACTTCCTTCAGGAAGCCCTCGCTGACTTCCCTTGCCTCAGTGCTCCCGTAGCCCTGCACTGGAGTGTGAGTGACACTGAATTTCCACTGCTGTTTGCTTGTCTGTTCCCTGCTCTCAGCTGATCCCTCTTAGTGCCCCGGCCTGGGTCCCCCTCGATGTATCCCCAGTGCCCCGCACATAATATGAGCTCGGTAGCTATGCATAAACTAATGAACGGGTAAGTGAGTGAGTTAATGAGTGAATGAATGAGTTAATGGATGAATGAATGAATGAGTGAGATCCTTGGCTGCCAGGGTGTAGGTCCCCCAGCAAGGAGGGGAAGGCCTGCAAGGGTTAACCGGGAGCCCGCCTGCGGTCTGAGGTAAGCAGGGAGCGTATTTGTTCAGGTAAATAAGGAAGGATTACTTATAATGGGAAATCAGGCCCAGGCCAACTCTTCATCTCAGGCTGCCTGACTTCCTCCCAGCACATTCCTGCACTCCGCCTGTGTCCACACTGCCCCACAGACCCGGTGCCCTGAGCCCACCGTGGCCCCCCCTGTTAGTCCCTCTGGCTGGGTCCTGCCACGGTGCCAGCAGGTGGCCCTGGGCCGGGGGCCAAAGGCTCCCTCAGGGCACACAGCCCTGAGACCTAAGAGGGCCACCCCTCAAGGGTGGCCAGGCCCCCGGCGGCCCACCCGAGTGCCACCTCTGCCCCCAGCCCTGCTGGCCTCTGGTCCCACTGGCCCCTCAGATGCCTGGCTGAAACCCAGCAGTGGCCCCAACTGCCCACGCCTCCTCCTGGTCCCCAAGGCTGGCACTGCAGCAGACGACTCCTTGGGCACAAGGCAGCTAACAGGTGAGTATGTTGGGGGCACAAGGATCCCTGCCATGGGGGCTTTCCCCTGCCAGCTGTGGGGCAGTGGGCGACTGAGGGCAGGACTTGGAGGCACACGAATGATCTCCCAGGCAGCTGTGACCTGAGTCCTTCACCCTCAGAAGCCCCTGACCTCTCCGTGCTGCCCGCTCTGCCTCCCTGGGCTGACACCAGAGCCTGGATGAGCCCCCTTGGCCTAGGGAGGCATGGGGTGCCCATGTCTTGGTGGCCCACATCTGGGCTCCACTCTGCACCCAGCCAGCACAGCCTGAGGGAAGGCAGCTCGGCAAATGCAGAGCCTCAGCCCCTGAGACCAGGCCAGTTCTACTTGGCTAGCGAAACACAAGCAGCCTTTCTGCTGCTGCCAGCCGCAGCGGCTCTGCCAAGGAAGGGTCTCCCTGGGGCCAGGCCGCAAGTAGCCAGGGGCTTGCTAGAGCCTGGAGGCTCAGGGCCGGGGTCTGTGTTGGAGTACAGCGGACAGGCCCAGAGCCCAGGGGCTGGACGGGGCAGTGGTGGGCACAAGAACCAGGTGGTCTGGGGAGCTGTGGAGCAAACCACCTGGGTGCTTGGATATGCAGGGAAGTGGAGGGCCTGTGGGCGGGGTCTGGGCACACTAGGAAAGAAATGGGGCTGGGGGGGTGGTCCTTGAAGGTGCTCATTTCTAAGATTTGCCAGGTGCTTCCTGTGGGGAGAGAAGAAAGTGGATGGCAGAGAGGACAGAGTGGAAAGTGGAAGGATCTAGATGGCAGGGGCTCCCCGAGGCTAGACAAGGGGTGTGTGTGTGTGTGTGTGTGTGTACGAGCGCACATGTGTGTGTGCGTGTGTGTACATGTGTTTGTGTGCGTGTTGGGGAGTGAGCAGGCCTCAGCCCCAGACCCCCTCACTCACCCTGCCATCTGGGCCCACCCAGCAGCCACGCCCAGGCCACAAGCCTCCCATGGCCCGTCCACTGTATGACGGTCATGGCCTTTCTCCTCTTTCCTGGCCAGGGCTGGGACTTGGCCTCACTTCCTGCCCCCACCTCCCCAGTAAACAGCCTCACAGCACCCCCAATAAAGCGGCATCTCCCCAGCACCAGCTGCTCGGCTGAGTAACAAAGCAAACAGGCATCCAGGCTGCCCCGGGCTCTAGGTGGCGGGCAGGGATGGGCAGGAGACTCGCCACCAGACAGGTAGGCCCAGGCCACGGCCCAGCCCAACTGGGCCCGTCCTGCTCGCCCTCTGCCCACCTGGGGGAGGGCCAGAGCCAGGGACTCCCAACTTGGGGTCTTACCACCCCAAACTCACAGAAATTTGGGGAGAGGGAGCATCCTCAGGGCTCCCAGGGAGGGTGGGGTGTGGAGGAGGTGGTGTCTCTCTGGGCAGGAGACCACTCTCCCCTTTGAGAGCCTGAGAGTGAGTGGACAAGCATTTCCTCTGCTCCAGGCACTGTGGGGGGCCCCAGAGCTGAAAACTCAGTCCCTCCTGGACATGTTTATTGTGTGTTACCAATTATAAAACACTTCGGCAGATGCAACCTTCTGAATTAGATAGAGCTTCTCTGTCAACCAGGCCTGAGGGAATAGCATGCAGTAGGTGCTCAATAGATGCTCAGAAACTATGCTGCCGGCAGTAAGTAGAAGAACCACGAGAACCCACTTTTTACCACTGAGGTTGTTGCAGATATAAAGTTAATGGCCCCAAAACAATTAGAGCACAATTTTGTGTGAAACACTGCAGCTTGAGTGTAACCTGGGTAAGTCAGTTCAGGTTGACGTAGGGACAAAGACGCTCCGGGTGGAGGGCAAGAAGGGATGGGTTAAGACCCACACTTGTGACCTCGGGTAAGTCACTTTTCCTCCCCGCACTTGCTGGTCCTTGTCTGTGTAGTGAGAAGGTTAGATAAGGTGGCGTTTTCTGTTAAAAGAGGCTTCATGGAAGAGACAACTTGGAGCTCGGTTTTGAAGGCTGTGTAGGAGTCGGTGAGACAGGCTGGCCAGCTGGATTTGGCAGCTTTGCAAGATTTGTGTGCTTTCCTAGGCTTGTCCCCTAGGCTGAGTTCAGCAGAGGTGAGTGGCTCTGGCTTTGGCTTCTTCTAGAGGCCAGGGAGGGGTGGGTGAGGCCAGCAGCTGCCCTGCACTGGGCTACAGAGCAGGAAGATCTCAGGGCAAGGCCCAGGCCTCCCTCACCACTGTCCTCAACAATCCCGCAGGCTCCGCCCTTCAGCCCCGCCCCCCGCCCCCCCACCCCCACTTCTTCCTTTGTTCCCCTCATTCCTCGCCACATTGCCTTTCCTTCCTCTCTTCCCAGTGCCATCCCCTCACCTGCTCCCAAGAGCCACCTTCATGCACGCTCAGCTCATCATGATTCACAAGGAATTTCCATCCACCCTCTCCCTCAATCTTCACAACCCCTTTAAGCCATGCTCTTGACAGCCCATTTAACAGACGGGACAACTGAGTCTCAGAGGAAGCCGAGTCACTTGCCCCAGGCCCAGAGCAGGGAGTCCGGACTCAAATTCCATCTGGACCCTCCCCCTGCCCCCATCGCCACCCCACCTCATTCCACACCCCACCCTGTGCCCCCAGCTAAGCCAGTGGCCTGTCAGGTGGAACAACACTTCCCAAAGCAAACTTTGCACAAGCCCAGTTGCCTTGGGCTCTTCCTGACATTTAATGCAGGCTCCTTCTCTTGCCTCATTTGCATGTTCCCAGGCGAGAAGTGCCGCCTGCCAGATGCTTCTCTCCACCTCTCAGTGGCTGGGCAGGGCCTCCAGACTAGGGGACCACTGCTCTCAGCCTGCGACCTGAGTGTGACTCTGCTGGGGGCCAGACGGACCAGAGCCCACTGGGACCAGAGAAAGGGGCCATGAGGTCTCTGTGGGCATCACCAGAATCCAGGCACCCTTCCCTCTCCCTCTGGCTCTGGGATTGAAGACAGAGGTCTGGGGGTGACCGCCCAGGCTACGGCCCCAGCACCTGAGAGTGGTGACAGGGGCGGGGCCCAGGTCCCTCTGCTCCTGAGGCAGCAAGTTGGCTTGAGGGCCACTGGGATCCAGCTCTTCCTGTCTCCAGCTTCCACATCCCCCCCGCCCCCACACACACAGGGCTCTAAGACAGAAGGGCGATATGTCTCTGTTGACACTTCACGGATGGGGTTGTGTCCCAATAACCCCCTCATAACCTATCCTCGCCCATTTAAACCTTTTTTGTGTGTGTGTGGGAGGAAGATTGTCCCTGAGCTAACATCCATTGCCAGTCTTCCTCTTTTTGCTGAGGAAGATTAGTCCTGAGCTAACATCTGTGCCAATCTTCTTCTATTTTGTATATGGGACGCCACCATAGCATGGCTTGATGAGCACTGCATAGGTCCACGCCTGGGATCCGAACGTGCGAACCCCGGGCCGCCGACGCGGAGCACGCAAACTTAACCACTACACCACTTGGCCAGCACCCCCTAAACCTTTTTTTGAAGCAATTCTGTTCTTAGCCTCTCAGAACAGTTCAGAAAATTTTATAATTTTCTGTATTGTTTGATTGTCTTGACTTGTCCTAAAATCCCCTTTCCAAGCCCAAGGTGGGCTCCCTGGCCCTAGGCTTGGGGCTCAAGGCACATTTCCTCCCTCAGACATGTCAAAACTTTACAGATTCACCAGCAGGAGTTTATGAAGCGCCTCTGCCTTTCCGTCGCTGTTCTGGGCCTGGAGGAGGCTGCAGAGACATGGAGGATAGAGATGAGAGTAACCGACGTGTACACACACCTTTTGGGAGAGTGTCGAGTCTTCCCACATCACTGTCCTGCCTTGTCGTGCCAAATCCCAGAGACACAATTATCATTACGAGTCCCCATTTCACCAATGAGGAGACTAAGGCCGAGAGGATGGACCACGGGGCCCCAGGCAGAGCCAAGTGACATTCACGTGTTCTCACACCTTCAGGGGCCCGCCACCCAGCTGGGACTGGAGTGTGGGGAAGAGACACCCACAAAACCTCAACACCCCTATGGTGTAGCGAGTGCTGGGAGGGTGGTACAGATGAGGTGCTGGAGGAGGGTAGGGAAGAGAGAGGGTGCTGTGACCCAGCCCCTTCAAGGAGGGTTTGTGGGGCCCAGGGGAGACTGTGCTAGAGAGAGGAGGGGCAGGGGGAGTATGCAGATGGCCGGGGTGTGGTGGTCGAGCTGGACTGGGGTGCTGAGACATGAAATGTATTTCCACACAGTACGTGCTCCACAAGGGCTGAATGAAGAAGTGATCTGCAGTTTCTGGAAAGCCCTGAAAGTCAGGCAGGATTTGTACTTGATGTGGCTGGAAATTGGGGTTCTGGCCGGACTTGCCTGGGCAGGGAGTCTCCGCTGACTGGAAGACGTGGGGAGGAGATGCTGCTGGGGCGGGAACCTTGGGAGGTGCAACTTGGGAGGTAAGGGGCGGCCTGGCCGTGGCCCTGCTTGGTCAGAAGGGTGGGCCAAGTCTTTGAGAGGCTCTGGACACCAGCTCCAGAGGAGGGTGGGCAGAGGGAGACGTAGCCACACCCCTCATTCTGCCCAAAATGTCATCCCTGAATTATGTCTCTGCTTGCAAGGGGAGTCCCTGGTGTCCACCTCTGTTTCTCCTCCACCTTCCTTCCAAGTCAGGCTGAGGGGGAAGATAGGGGTCATGCAGTCATAGAATCCAAACAGTGTCTGGGCTAGAAAAACCCTGGGAGATGACTCACCCCCTCGGAGAACAGAGGAGGAGACTGAGGCCCAGAGGGGACCAGGGGCTGGCTGCCCAGGGCCTCACATGCGGTGGGAACAGTGCAGGACATGAACCCACATCTCCAGATGTTGAGGCCTCGAGTTCTTTCCAGACCACACACCCCCTTTGGAGCAAACTCAAAGATGGCGGTGAGCTCGAGGCTGAGGTGGGTCCCTGTACTCCAGGCTGCAGGCGTCCGTGCCACCTGAGTCCACCAATACGACCTCTGTGGGGCTGGGATTTTCAGGGGCTGGGTCAGTGGGCAGCCTGAG